ACTGTTCCATTACAAAATTACTGACCCTCAGAGCAGCATCTAGGAGGGGTCACTCACTTCACTCACTTCGCACCATATATTCATAAAAATCATGGAGCTTGCTGAAAACCAGCCAAGCGACAAGGTAACGAAACATATCAGAAAATATAAGTATCAAACAAAGCAGTATCAGAAACACTGTATCCAGACCTTTTCTTGGACAATGGCAACATATGGCAGGATCATCAGAACATCCTTCTGCCTGCAGAGTAGTTCCTGGAGAATCATTATTTCAGCTACCAGTGTTTTTCCACCACTGGTTGGCAATGAGTATATTAAGTTCTTTCTTTGCTGTAGAGATTCTAACATTAAGCAATCATGCTGCCACTCTGAAAAATCAAAAAGGAACTATTAGCAATCCCAGGGGCATGTTAGCCAATAGCACAATGCCTGCATTTCCCATGGAATACTTTAAGCCCAGTGTTTGAGGATTTTTCCTCAATAAACCACTAGAAGTCTTCAGTAGTGAAGCCTTCAACAATATATTCTATAAGCCATATAAACCTTTTTCACCCACCTAAAACACCAAGAAAGCCATTTACAAAACCAAAACAACTATTTTCCAACATGGTTTACATCAAAAATTACCTTAAATATTTTTATAGGGTAATGGGTGAAAGAGACAACACTCCATTAGCAATTTTTTTTCAACAAACCATTAGTTACACTACCATAAAGTGTTTCAATCCCTCGAAGTTGTCTGAATAAATCTTTAACTTTGCTAGGTAATCCATAAAAAGGGCCTATATCAACAGAAGAAGATTCAATAGCTTTCCTAGCAACAAAAATCTCTTCAGATAAAACAGCTTCTTTAAGCTGCTTGGTCTTAGAGACCTGCAGAGTCTGGGCTTTGGCATTCCCAGTCATAGCACTTTTTAGGTGATCTTTAAGACTCTCAGTTTTCAATAAAACACACTTGGAGTCTGAGGAAAAGTCCATAGGTCTGTTCCTGTGTTCAGCATCAGCACAATAAGACAACGGGCTTCTGATTTTGTTGGAGGAAGAATTCACACATTCTCTCCTCTCTTTTGAGTCTGGCGATGTCCTAAAAGCAGAAGAAAGTTCATCCATTTTCTCAAAATACAAAAGTTGTGATGATGGCAAGTCATCTAAAAGAGATTCAGCTGGTTCTCTACTGCCATCCACCAGGTCTCTGTCCTGCACTTGGCAAGCACCCTCTTTGTCAGCTTTAAGGACAGATGCTTTTTCTGAAGCAGAGAAGTTGTCTTGTTTTTTCTGGTGAATTCCTGACTGAAGATTCCCAACTGTGATTTCTCTAGCTGCTTTCACATCCATGTTTTTATCCTGCAGGTACTTGTGTTCGATGTCATCCACTTGAGCTAGCAAAGAATCATTTCCACAGAAGCTGTCATAGTCACCAAACATGTCTTCCTCACTGTCGTTACAGCACTGTAAAACCAGAACAGTGAGCATCAATACTCTGAAGCAACGCCACAGGAGGCAGCATAACTTGTGCAGCACGCACATCAGATGCAAATAATCTAGGTCTTCCCCAGCTTAAAAGAAAATTGTCTTTTCTGATATTGTCTGTGGGGGAAACCCAGGTCCAGTTCTAAACGAACACACACTTCGACTCAGTGAAACCAAACCTACAAGCAGGATGGATGCCTGCACAGAGAGCTGATGGAGATGAGCTTTTTTAAAGGTAAAGCCAAACGGGATCATCCCCTGTCGTACAAAGCACGGCCCTTCCCGACACGCGCCACGCAGGCTCGGTCTGGGACATTCCACGCTCCCAGATGGAGCTCCCCCGCCCCGATACCAGCCCTAGGACCCCGCCATCCCCTACCGGGGGCTCTACCGGCGGTGGCCCCTCGCCACCAGAGCTCGGTCTCTTGGGAGCCACCGGCGAGCTGGCGGCGCTGGGCTGCATCGGGGCGCGGCTTCTCTTGCGCTCCGAGCTGGGGCGGTTCTTCCTCCGCACCGCGAGGCCGGGCTCGGCCATGCCCCTGTCCCAGCCCCGGCCGCCGCCCTGCGGCCGGGGCTGCGCGGGGCCGTCACGGCCGCGGCGGGACAGGACGAGGGGACACCCAGTCGCGCGGGCGAGGTGCGGCCGCCATGAAGCGGGAGCGGACACTTCCGGCAACAACCCGCCGCGACGGGCACGTGACCACGCGTCGGCCAATCGCCTGCCCCGAGCGGGGCAGGCCGCTCCGCCATTGGCCGGCGGGCGGCAGTGACGCGCGGGCGGAAGCGGCCGTGCGCGGGTATCATGGCGGCGCGGGCCGTGTCGGGGCAGGGTTACTGGCGGCGGCTGGTTCCCGGTGCGTCCCTTTCGCTCCCTCCTCCCCCCGTTCCTCACTCCCCCCGGCCCACCGCGCCGCCGCTAACCCTGTCGCTCTCTCCCTTGCAGCGGCGCTGTGGGCGCGCCCGCGCCGCCTGCAGCACGAGGGGCAGCCCCAGGCGCAACCCGAGCACCCCGACCAGGTGAGGCTCACACGAACCCCCCGTCCCGCCGCCCACCCTGCGCAGGGGGGGCTTCGGCCGGGCTGAAAAAGCCCGATTCTCCGTTTTCAGCCGTGTCTGAAAAGGCTTTGCCCTGGTGGCTACGGATCCGTTGTGTTACAAACAGGAGGTCACCGGGTGCTGAGAGTTACGGCACCATTGACCTGTATTTCAGTATTTTAACTATAGTCCTTAAACCTGCTGCCTCAGAAACCCGAATGTGGAGCAAAAGCTTTGGTAGCACCAGCTAGTTTCCTCTATATAGCTGAGGAAAAGACTTAAGAGAGTGCACTAGGTTTACATTAAAAAAATATGTGGGTTTTGGCACCAGCAAAAACTTCTTAAAGTATTCCTTCTCTGCCCAAATTCTACCTGTGCCTGCAAAGTGCATATAAATATCTCAAAGGCAGGTGCCCAGAGGATGGTGCCAGACCTTTTTTGGTTGTGCCCAGTGACTGGACAAGGAGCAGTAGCCATAAACTGAAACACAAGAAGTTCCACCTCAGCGTGAGGAAGAACTTCTGTACACTGAGGGTGGCAGAGCACTGGAACAGGCTGCCACAACAGGGTGGTTGTAGAGTCTCCCTTTCTAGAGACATTCCAAACCCACCTGGATGGCATTCCTGTGCAACAGGATGACCCTGCCTTGGCAGGGGTGTTGGACTGGATGATCTCCAAAGGTCCGTTCCAATCCTGACAATTCTGTGATTTCTTGCGAGGATTTGGTGTTGGGTGTATTCTGAAGCTTGAGGAGCCTTTCAGTCCTTGGAAATCTCTCTTTAAAGTGTGTGAGCAGACAGGAGCTCCCTCAGGCCACTTGCTTTGAAATTCTTTTCAAAAAAAGACTCTTGTGACTTATCAGACAGAGCCACCTCACTACCAGCTTCTGCAGATATTGACTTCTTAGTAACAGGTGTAAGCACCATCTCACTGAATGCTTTAATAGACTTGTTACAGTATCATTATTACTAAAATATAAAAGGCTGTTTACATGTGAGAAGTCTTTTAGATGGCTCTGTACCAATCAGTGTGTTAGGGAAACAGAGTTAGGGAAGTTATTCAAAAACTTCAGTGGTGCCCTAAATATCTCTTGGTTTCAAGGTATATCTTGCCTGAAGGATTCAAAGTAACAAATGTTCTTTATTTTCTGGTGAAGCTTAAAGATGTTAAAAATTCTCTAATTTCAGCCTATACAAATGGAGAACCCTTATAAGGAGCCTCCAAAAAGATGTATCTTATGTGAAATAAATGTGGACTACAAGAATGTGCAGGTGAGTGAAAACTCATGTCCTCAGATGAAGGTAAGTGGTTTATGATTTTTAAATGTGTGTGTCAGAAGTCCACAAGAACTGAAAAAAAAAACCCAAAACAAAAAACCCCCCCAAACATAAAAATCCATTCATATGTGTAGGAGTTTAAAACTTGAAAATGTGTGCAGATTAAGGGTCAAATAATGTAGTTATAAGCTGATCAAGCTACTAGTTCTGTGTGTTAGTGTGACAATTTTGTCATTTACCAAATAAGAGGCCTTGGTTACAATCCATCTGTCATACAGCTTAAATGTTATGCCATAGAAAATACTGTTTAGTTCCAAGCTCTACTTTTTCTTTAGGTAGAACTGTGTTTTGTAAAAATAGATGGGGAAAAAGAAAAACAGAGGGCAAGTAGTAACATAAATATCTAAAAAAAGTTCTTAAACTGACTTTGATTTTCTTATTTTTAAGTAGCTTCTTTCCCAGTTTGTTTCTCCTTATACTGGCTGCATTTATGGCAGACATATAACAGGTATGTGAAGTATTAAATTAAAAATTTACTGGTTAATATTCATGTTCTTCTAAGTAACTGTGCATCAGCAATCTTTCCAAAAGTAACTGCTACCAACTCTATATGTTTTGTAAGAGTATTCCTGACTTAATAGCCTGCATCAAGGAATAAAAATATCCCTTAATTATATGCATTTTGTATGTAACAGTAAAAGCACATGTGCATTATTCTAGGAAGACTAGACAAAGATAGAGGGAATTATCAGTAACATCCCTTTAGACTAATGGCTTGTTCAGTGTTGAAAATAATTCATCTCTTTAGGCTTGTGCCACAAGAAGCAGAGGGAAGTTACAAAAGCTATTAAAAGAGCTCAAGTACTTGGTAAGTATGATTATGCTTCTGAGTTTTCTAAGGCAAGCTTACTTTTCTATTAAGAATGCCTCCATCTTATCTTTTTACAGGATTTATGCCAGTTGTGCTTAAGAACCCACAATTTCTCACAGACCCCAAGATATGTAATATCAAGTATCCAGAGTAAAGTGCTGTAAAGAAATAAACAATAAAACTGTGTTTCATGTTCATATACTTGCTTACTGGAAATGTGGTTTTCTAGCATAGTGTGTGGTTGACTGAGGGGTGGATGTCAGTTGGATTTTTATTAATTTTATGAAGTCTCTAAAATTTATTGTCTGAAGAAAGTATGAAATATTAAGCAGTAAGAGAAACTGGCAGCTTTCTGGACCCCTTTCTGAGCTCACAGGTCTTGTTAAACTTTAGGTGGCTGGTTTTTATCCTCTCTGGATTGTAAGATGGGGGGAAATGAACAAGTACTGGTTTCCTAAGGATAAAGTAAAAGTATTTAAAATGTGGCAGTTCAAGTAGACTGCTAATTCTAAGTTATCTGTGTTCATTTGGTGCTGCCTGCATCAGCTTCTGCTGAGGAAAAAGGATAGTACTGCTTCTTCAACAGCAGTTTGAAGTTGTATTAGTTTGAGGCAGTATGTGCTTATCTGACTGCTGGCATAGTCTTTAAACCCTGAGAGAGAGACTACAGATGGAACTCTGGCAGGCAAAATGAGGGAATGTCATCTGGATATTGTTATGCTGAACAGGATTCATGCACTGGACAGAAACCCCAAACAAACCCTGTACGTTTTGCAAAAATGGATTAAGTTATATACATCCCTGCAGTGCTGAAAATTGACACATCACTTGAATATGCTGGCAGTAGCTTTTGGTGTGAAGTCATCTGACAAATCATTAACAGATCAGAAAGTAGGAGAGTGTGGGTATTCATTTGTGTCTCTATTTTTTTCCAACACATCCTCGTCTGATTCAGTGCTGCTCAGTGTAAGCTTCCTGTCCTGGTCACTGTCCTCTGGGTCTGCAAGTGATTCTCGGTGAAGCTGCAATGATCTGGATTTCTTGAATGACTTTGATACTGTTGTGGTCCCTCTGACTTTACGCTTGGTTAGATGTCTTGTTTCAGCTTCAGTGAAGTCTCTTTCCTCTACCATGAGAGTCAGTTTGTCCATGACATTAATATTATGGTTAATGTTACAGCAGTTCTTGGATATCTGTTGGCCTTTGAAGGAAACAATACATGTCTGAAGTCCAGAATTGGGGAAAAATGTTTGCAGTGCCTGACAAAGGAGAACATTCTCCTTTGGCTCTCCTGTGTAGTTTCTGTCTTCTCCTGGGGGGAAAAAAAAGTTACAGTTTCAAAATCTCTTGCACTCTCCTACCCCTGCTGTTTTGGCTGCCTCAAGTTCAGAAGTGTTTTCCGCTTCTGCCAGTTGAACAAACTTTGGAAGTCTAAAGCTGGCATTACATTTGGTTAACTTACCTGAACAACCTTGTTGCTTTTTCCTCTTTATTTCTTCTTTTAATTGCCTCACCTCTGCTAAAAGTTTCTCTACAGATCGTTCACTGACTTCTACTGTAAAGCATATTTTCTGCAAGAAAAAGGGCATTTGATCAGATTAATAGTATTCACAGAAGCTGACTTTAACCTTGTTGCAAAATCCTTAAAGGTACTCACAATTAAGTTGAACACAAAGTAGTAAAAGCTTAAGTAATGAAGTTGAGGTGGATTTTAGAGATCACTTAAACCTTGTGTTGAATGAGGTGCAGGATGTTTTATTTGTTCCTATCTAAGCAAAGATCTAACAAACTACAGATAGTACTCGTCAAAATAATCCTCTTGTGAGAATTTATTAGTGAACTTGAAGATTTATCAGTGTACTTCTATCAAATGGAACCTTAAGTCTTCAACTTTGAGAACATAATGTGCAGCTGCTGATAGTAAATGGAACTCCCTGATCTTTCGGATGCTCTTTCAAAACACAGGTTTGTTTCTCATGTAGTGCAAGATGTTGTACCCTCTGCTTGACTTCAGTTTTGTAGTACTACCAAAGGTGAGGCAGGTATGCCTGGCTTACCTTGAGTTCCTCCTGCAAAGTGGCATACATCTCATTTATCTTATGAACCTCTTGCAAGGATCCATCCTCGTGAAAGAACTCTGACCTGTGGGCCAAGAATGTAACTGTATAATTCAAGTTAGTTATCCCAGTGCTTACTTAGTAGGAGCTTTAAAGAATAAATAAGCATTTTGAGCTTCAGTGGCAGGTGCCTATGTTGAGACAGACAGCTGCTCTCCTGGCAGAGTATGGGACTGAACTAATTTCCAAGTGTGGCGGAATGCTAAATAATTGCAGATAAAGGACAAAAAGTGAGCAGGATACAGCTGTAGCATTTGCAAAAACACTTAAATGCTTTTATAGAAAGGTAAGTATAGTTATGTTAACGGGAAGCAACAGCTGTCAGTCGATATGTCATTGTACCTGTGTTGTCTTACTGCTCTCACAAAGCCAGAAGATACGCAGGAGCCAGACACTGTTCTGTAGCCTTGCTGTTCTGCCATACCCAGATTGGTAACCACCAAAGGGACTTTCTGGAAAAGACTGAAAAAGCAGAAGTATAAAAACATGATCTATTAACATCAGAGGCCTCTTTTTGATAGTTAGCAGTTCTTGACTGTTAAGCATCCCAGATGGGGGTTTACAGTATAGTTAGTCCTTGCTAAATGTATTACATGAGACAGAGATGAGGCTAAAGGCAAACTCCAGGAGCAACCAGACACTGAGCCTGTATTATTTCCCCTGTTTCTGAGTACAATACACAATAATGCAATACTTGCTTGTTAAGCCTAGCCTGTGGGCAGCATGTCTCTGAAAATAGTTACCACCAATTTAGATATCTTAATATGTCAAGATAAACACCATGGATGGTTGAAGTCCTATAGAGAAAACCAACTTGATCAAGAACAGCTTATGTACATAAATATGCTGACAGTGTCTGCCTGATGATGCTGGCACTACAGATATAAAGGGACATCCCAGAATAGAGTCCCAGGGTAAGCTTTGAACTGTGCTCTAGCAATATAAGGAGGGATCTTACCTAATGTATAAGTTTCAAGGGTAAAATAAACAGTGTTAATAATTCATTTGCAACAAAGTGAAAAAAAACCACAACTGTTTCAAGTTAGAGCACACACTGTAGAAAACAAACCAATTATTACCCTTCCTGTGGCCGATGTAAGGCATGTTCCAGTCTGTAAGTAGAACAACTTTCTGTCATCACACTAGAGGTTAACAGAAGGAATACAAGACCCTGATTTGATAGGTGTGACTGCAGGTTCTTATGGAGGAGTCTCTCCCGGAATGTCATGGTCTGGTCTGTGTTGCGTCTGAATTTGTACCATCCTATTACACTCTGCAGGCAGAAGAAAAATCATTGTTAGTGTTGAATTCTGCTGTCCCTGTGTGTCACAGTGAAGCAAGGTTGATACAGTACAAAGTCACAAGTCTGAATTGTTTGGTGATATGTACATATTCAAGCAGTTAACTTGAAACCCTTAAAACATCTAAGCCTAATTCCAGTATGGCAGCTTCTTTCCTTCAAAACCATGTGTTGAACTGGCCTGTTTCTGAGCTTGTGCTCAAGCTGAAACTCTGCAAACTTTGTTCTGCTATTTTGTGGTTTGTTTCTTTTCAGCTTATACCTTCTCCCTGTAAAAATTTCTTCTGTAGAGAAGACTAATTTTTTTTGGTCAAATGGTGCTTAACCATTTGAGCAAGCTGACCTTAACTCATCTTAAGCTAGAAATTGATAGAATTCCTTTGGGATACTCGAAGTGTTCACTTGGGAAATTAATAAGAACAAATAAAGTTGTGACGTATATGTAACAAACCCTACATATATATACCAAGGATAACCTAATCTGGTTTTCTAGGGGGAAGAGATGATGCATCTGCCTTGACCAGCAGCATAGGGGACTAGATAAAAGATTTAAAATGAGGAGAGAAAAAAAGCTTGATGCAAAAGGTATCCAGAACAGCCTCCAAAATTTCAGTAAGGTCCTCAGTATGGTTTAGATTTGAAAATAAAATACCTTCTTACAGCCTGATAGTATTTTCTTCAGGGCAAGTTCATTCAGTTCTCCTGCAGAATTATAAAAGCTAGAAGAAGAAAATTAGGACAATTAGAGGGGAAAAAATGCTACTGAAGAAATAACTATTCACTAACATTCTGGTAATCATCTCTAGTAGTCTTTTCCCCCTCCTATTAAGCATAACAATATGCTGCCACAGCTTCTCTGCTGGGACAGAGCAGGTGATTTCATTATTCAGATAGTTCTGTAGGAGGTCTTGTACAGCCCAGATCCTCTTCTAGCATCAGTGCTGCTGGGATATAAGTTAAAAGTAGCACCTGTGTTCTCTGAACTACAAAAAAATAAGATGCCTTCAATTTGATATAAAAATGCATTTCTAATAAGAGCTGGGTTTATTAATTTTCAGAAAGGTTTGAGAAGGAAACTGTGATTCTCCCCTTACAGGGGTGTAAACCTGCACAGCTGTGTTTCCATCTATGGTGGAACTCTGAATACTAACTTTTGAAACTACTCCTGCTATGGGGCTAACAAGTGTTTCTTTTATTGACCCACTTAGAAGCCTATGGCTGTACCTTTTTATTTATTTTTAAAATTTTTATTGTTATTATTTTTGAGGGTGAGTGGCGAGAATGTATGCTTTTAGTAAAGCAATGGTTTTTTTCAGTATGTTGATATTATTCTTTACTTTACATGGTATCATAGCTCACCAGAAAGTGCACTGTGTCATATCTCTTTTTCCATATACATAGGCAAAGACCAAAAAAAAGACATAATAAAAAAGAATAGGAATAACATAAGGCATTTTGCATCTGTTATTCCAAGAGGTTGATATGGCTACTATAGTTACATCGTGTGATTTTCTCAAGTAATGTAATATAAGTTTAAATCCTGAAGAGTTCAAGTTAGGCATTTTGTATCTGTTTACTTAAGACTCTTACCTGAACAGCTGGTAGCAGGGAATATGCTTCTGTATATCTGGAAAGTGAAAGTAATATTACACCAGGTTCATCAGTTCATGATGTATATTCTTCTGTATGCTATGATCAGTATTAAACTCATAGCAGAACCAAGAAATAATTTTATATAATTTCTTAAAAACAAATGCATTAATAAGGTGAAGAAAGGAAATATTTAAAAAATATATTCTAATTAATTTGTTCAAATGTAAAGGGAACCACTTCTGTAAACTGTATTTTTTTGTGTATTTTGTCAAATGAAAAATCAAGTTGGGCATTTTATTTCTCTCTCCCTTCTGTCAAAGTACAGGAGTAGTATGTAATATGAAAGATTTCGCTTGAGTTACTCTGCAACAAGGCATAGATGCCGTTAGTAAGATGAGGCTGAAGAACAGAAACCCACAGGGTAGATAAATGGAAGGCTGACAACCAGAAAAAAAATGGCAGGTGATCTAATGGCATTCTAAATCCTTTTTTTTTAACCTAAATTCTCCACTGTTTTCATTTTCACAAGATAACTGAAAAAAACCTCCAAACTTTAGAGCAACTAAGTCTGCCTGTGAGAATGTAATAACAAGACTCTGGGTAACCTGATCAATGCCACTGCAAAAAATTCCCCACATTTTTGGTTCACCTGTGAGACTCTGTGAAGGAAAGTGTTACACCTTAATTGTATCCTAGAGTAAAACTAGAAAACGAGTTGTAATTTCTCCCTACCATATTTTCCGGAAGATTGGCAAGAAGGCACATGCTGCATTACCTTGTTCTGTTTCTTTTTGTATAACTGCATTTGAAAGGAATGGAGTTAACTGTGTGTGCATGTATGTATACAAATGTAAGGGCCAGTATAAAATGCACATCCACTCCAATCCCGTGAAGACTATAAAAAAAATACATCTGACATCTGCTTAATGAAATCAATAAACAGCTTGCAGCCTTCAGACACAGTATTTTATAAGCTCCCAATGAGGTAATAAATGCTAATACATTATAGGTCACATCACTGAAATAGACCGAGTTTTTCAGGGCAACTGTAGTTCAGGAGAGTTTGTGTTGTGGCCAGGACAAAGTAGCAGTCTAAACCCTAAATTACCTTTAATCTAAGAGATACTTGGTAAAGAGCAGCTATTCAAGGAACTAAGAACTAGTATTTATTTAAAGTTACTCTGTTTTCTGCAGTAGTATTGTAACTTTTGTAGCAATTAAAATGTTGCAAAATAATGTTTTTTACACCAACGTGCACTCCTGGATCTCACAGCTTTGATATTGCTCTAAGTTTTTGACTGCCCTCCTTCAAAACTAAAGCATTCATATATTGCCTGAAACCAAGCAGTGTATTAAAAATATGGACAGACTAACCTATTGTATAAACAACTTCGACATCATCCATTTGTGAGTCAGTAATGCTGTTCTTGGCTTCACCTTTCACATCTCCAAGGAGAAAACCTTCCTGTAGAGGGGAAGAAGAAAAAAGTGTTCATGTTAACCGTAGCATTGAACAGACACTCCTGCTGTACTTGGTGCTGGTGGGGCCTTACCTCTAATCCTGTGTGCAATTTTGGGTGCCACAATATAAGAAAAATACAAAGCTATTAGAGAATGTCCAAAGAAGGGCCATGAAGATGATGAAGGGCCCTGAGGGGAAGCCGTATGAGGAGCGGCTGAGGTCACTTGGTCTGTTCAGCTTGGAGGAGACTGAGGGGAGACCTCATTGAAGTCTACAGCTTCCTTGTGAGGGGCAGAGGAGGGGTAGGCACTGATCTCTTCACTCTTGTGACCGGTGACAGGACTCGAGGAAACAGAATGAAGCTGAGTCGGGGGAGGTTTAGGCTGGATAAAGGAAAAGGTTTTTCACCCAGAGGGTGGTTGGGCACTGGAGCAGGCTCCCCAGGGAAGTGATCACAGCACCAAGCCCGACAGAGTTCAAGAAGTGTTTGGACAATGCTCTCAGGGACCTGGTGTGACTCTTAGGGCTGTCCTCCTATGCAGAGCCAGGAGTTGGACTTTGATTATCCCTATGGCTCCCTTCCAACTCAGGATATTCTAAGAGGATTTTCCCTCTCATATTAAGTCCAAATGCTGTCTTCAGAAAAGGAAAAAAAGGTGTCAAAATGAACTTTTTTTTTTTTTTAATAGACTAGGTTTTCACTAATTTTTCAATATTAGCCCGTAGTTCCGAGGGGAAAAAAAGCAAAACCCAACAAGTAGTGATGCATCCTCCTCGGCTGTCTCCCGTCCCTCCTCGTTCAGCAGCGAGCAGCCCACGGCTGTGCGGATGCTGCCCGCCGCCCAGGCTCGGGCTAGGCGGCCACACCAGCCCTTCGCTCGCTCCTGGGCAGACACGGCGCTGCAGCCGCCGCAGCCTCCCGGTTTACCGGGAAGACCCCGCGTTTCCCCGCCGCTCGCACACAAAGCGACTCCCGTGCGCGGCGGGGCGGCAGAGACCCACAGCCCTGGGGCCGCGCCGGGAGCCCGGGCAGAGGGAGGCCCGGCGCCGGCGCGGCCACGGCGGGGGCGGCCCCTCCCTCCCTCCCTCCGCTTCCTCGCTCCCCTCTTCCGCGGCACCCACCGTGTCCGAGTCGGTGCTGAGGTGCTGGAAGGCGAGCGCGCCGAAGACGAAGCCCGAGAGCAGGGCCGAGGTGCTCTCGCCCTCCATGCCCCGGCAATGGCGGGACGGGCCGCGCCGCACGGCGGGAGCCCCCAGCGGCCGCTGGCGGCAGCGCCGCGCCGGGCCCGGGCGGGCACAGCCCGGCCCCGCAGGGACGCGGGATCCCCTCAGCCGCCCGCGCCGGGGAGAAACGTGGAACGTGTAAACGTTTTCTTCAGAAAGGGTGTCCTCTGATGTTTGGTCTTTGTGTGCTTTCAAAGCTAATCAACAAGATAGGCGATTTAATCGGTGAAAACGGATCACAGAATCACGGAATCAATTAGGTTGGAAAAGACCTCTGAGATCATCGAGTCCAACCCATGACCCGACACCACGGTGTCAACTAGACCATGGCACTAACTGCCACATCCAGTCTCGTTAAACACCTCCAAGGATGGTGCCTCCACCATCTCCCTGGGCAGTCCATTCCAGTTCCCAAGCACTTCTTTCTGTGAAGAAATCCAACCTAATGTTCAACTTAAATCTCCCCTGGCTCAGCTTAAGACTATAAAATAGCAGCTAACAAACAATCTCTAAGTGGTGTCCAGGTGTCAGAAAGACAAATTACTTGTTGGTAAAATTGCCTTGTTAAGGTTTAGGGCTGGACATGCTTCAACAATCTCAGCCCATGGGGAGGTTAGCAAAGCTTGGAAAGAAGGATGTATCACTCATAGTGGACACAAAGAATGCAATGTTTATGGGCCACAAAGACATCTGGCAGAATTCCCAAGATAAGGAAGAAACTAATGAAGACAACTCAGCAACTGTGCTGAATCAGCTTCAACTGCATGAAAGGTAATTCTGTCAGTGGTAAGATGGCAACCACTGACTTACGGCCACCAACTCAAGAAACCCACTGGCCCAAAAGAAGAGAAAGACTGAGCCTGTGGACTAATTAGCATAAGAAGCAAGAGAATCATTAAACAATAGAAGATACAATACTAATTAAAAGGACAACTATGTAACTTGTAACCAATGAACATTAATACCTTTGTTTGCTAAAATGTATAAATAGTGAAAAATTTTGATAGTTGGCGTGCTTGATTTGTGAAATACCACCGAGGACCCATGATTGTGCAACTCTGAAATAGATAATCAATATCTCTTTCAAGTGTGTAGTGTAATTATTGGCTTATTACACACTGTGCAATGAAACTGATTTTGTGAACAACAGCACCAGACCTCACCTCCTCTGTGCCCGCTTCTATCCTCCCTCACTCTCCCAGCCTCTTCCTGCCACCTGCCCAGTGAGACTTCTGGAAAATCATCCCTTGCAGTTTGCCTTAAATGGCACAGTTTTAAGTCTAAATTCCTGGATACTGAAACAATTGAAACACTGCTCTGATTTAGGAAGGCTGCTCAGTCCTCTGTGTCTCTGTGAATGTCTGTGAGTGCAGCCCAAGGGCTTGTCCCGAGGGTGTCCTGGCCCCATCCATGGCTGCCAGTCTCCTGCCTGCAAGCTCTGGGACCTGATGCAGCTCTAGGCTGAAAGGCAGGATCTGCGCTCATGGAAGTGCCTCATTGAGCTGCACTACGAGCTTTAGTTTGATGCTTTCATCAAAATGACATTTAAACTGAGCTGCCTGGCTCACATCATCCTGCTGGGAGTGTGGGTGGAGTGAGCTGGGCTCATGTCTTGGGAGTGGGAGGATTGTGTCATGCCAGCCTGCAATATGAAAAGGCATGGCACTGGCTGACCTGCTGTCCATAACAAGGCCATGCCTTTCAAAACAGGCCATGCAGCTGTGAGGATGTCTGGAGGTGCACTGTTCTGTTTAGGATCGTGGTGAGAATCTTCACGATTAATTAATAGTTAATATTAATTAATATTAACTATTAGTTAATAACATAATAAATTGTGATAAGGAAGTAATAAAATGATAATGCTGAACAATGCTGAGCAGTAAATTGTACAACTTCTTCCTCAGGTATAGACTGAGTTTGCAGAATATACGTTCTGTATTTTTTCAGTTGTCACATTTTACTCATTTTTAATACTTGTAGTAATGTATTTTTACCCATTTTAGCAGGTGTTCCTGACATAACAGTCAGAAGAAAGGTCTAGAAAACAATTTCAGGAAGAGAGAGTTAAAAGTGACAACATTCTTTGAAATATGATCAGAGGTCTGGTCTAAAGGCTGCAGGAGTTTTACCCCTTCACATCAGGCAAGCAAATGTTTGATTTCATCCCTCACCAGGACTATAGGTAAGCACATTCTTAGCCTTAGACATTAATTGCCTGACTCTTGAAATAGAATGTATGCTCCTGTGGTCTTTTAAGTTGTATTTCCATGCTTTTGGGATCTCAAATATGTTTTTTTTATGTTGCATATAAAATTAATATTCTTAGTGTAATATTTTTTCCATTAAAACTTGTTGGCAAGATTTAGAAGGAGAAGGGTTAGTTCTGGTGTATTTAAATAAAATTCTTTAAGTATTATTTAAAATATATGTGAATGGTGCCAAAATTTAGAAGAGGAAAATTGTTGTGCTTCTTAACTGTTGTTACAGTGCAGAGAGGGACCAGCTAGGACTTTTATTTCTCAACACACTCATAAATGATCTAGATCTCTGGATAAGGGGAACACAAGTGTCTGAATGATACAGAATGATGGACGAGGGTAATGGGAAAGAGCTAGCATGCATTTCTTACAATGCAAGCCATGTGGTATTAAAAAAGGGGTAATAAGTACAACACAAGTGAAGTGATACATTGCGACAAATGATTCCATTGTGGACCACGTTGCCGTGGTGAAGGCAACAAGAACTGATGGATGTGTCCATATTCCATAGCTGTTTGTGGAGAAAATGATGAAAGGGGATGAATGCTGATGTCTTTCAGGAATTGCCCCAAAGGACCCTGTGCTGTGTTTGCAGTCACTCCTAAGCCAGAGCTGGGAGAAAATGTTACACATTTAACCAATGCAATAAATGTTGGGCAGTGACAAATTATTTTATTGCATTTAGCATCAGTGATACACAAATCATATGCAAGATTTATATGGACAATATGTGAAATATGTATTGAAAGTCGTGTAATGCCTACACACCTGTGATATCTATGCATTGCTAAGGCAAACAAATGTAGTCAGAACATGTAGTGGATTTCCCTGTTTTGTGATACAAAGACTCAAGCCTGTTGTAAGCTACAGGATACAATAAATAAGGTTCTGTAATTGTTGAATTTATGTTGTGTGGAAACAATAATGCTTGTGTGGTCAGAGCTAAATGTATTACAGTCATTCTATGAGTGATACAGTAGTCAAACATACTTCTTCAATGTTTTCATAATTCAACTGTTGATGGCCAAAGATAAAGCATAAATAGCACAATCTTACTGTGGTCAGATACAAACACATATCTGTTTAGTGGTGTAGATGGGATCTGTACAGACCTTAAGGGCAGCAGACATAGATCAGTTAGAATGTTAATGCAGAGGAGTACAAAGATGCATTTAAGTGCCTGAAAACAGTGTAGTTTCTATAGAAAAATATTGCACTTGACATTGCTATTACATGCAATAGGTGATCTTTAAGGTTATTCTGGCTTTTTGGAGGATTTTTCACCAGTAAAACATGAACCTCAGTCTTGATAAATATCAAAACAAAACTACCAGAGATTATTTCCCCCTTAAGTAGCAATCAGGTGTGGAATTTGAGGTTGAAACATAGAGAAGACATAAGCAAAAAACAAAAACGCCCTTTATTTTCTCCTTTTTTTTTGTTTGGTTTTGGTTTTGTTTTTAAATTTTATTTTATTTTATTTTTAATATCTGCAATTGAAAAAGATATATTCTTAGTAGTTTTCATGTATAAGTACACATATCAGAATTACTGGAGTGCACAATGCTCTGGTCAGTTTTGTTTGAAAGACTTTCTTATCCTGCAAAGCATAATCCTGGTACCCCTGAATATTAACTGACACTGGCTAATCAGCCCAGGTTTGCTCTCTTGACCCTCTGTCATTGATTTACAAGGCTTTTCTAAGTAGATCAGCCTGCTTTGTAGCATAGCAAAACTCACACAGAAATGCCAGGGAGCCCTAAAACTGGAGGCAGAAGAGCATTTAGCAATAGTATCACCTTCATGTGCCTAATGGCAATGCTTGTGTGTGCTTCTGTACTTCTAGATGTAAGCAGTTTTGGATCATGTTTCAACTCAAAACAGTTAAACAATATACCCTGTATATTTACTATAAAAAATACACTATATATTTACCATAAACAATATACCCTGTATATTTACTATAAAAAAGATCAGCTGATAGATGGTTGACCATGACTGATAGTTGTGGTCATTGTCATTCGCCTCAGATAGAAATTTCTCTTTGTTAACCTTTAGGGAATGTATTACTTCAACATCTGAAGCACCACGTGGCTGAAGCTGATGTGTCAGTGCTCCTTTGGAACAGTATCTGCTGGGGACATACAATGTTCTGGTAGTCTGATAAGAAAGGCATTGTAAGAAAGGCAGGCTGCAAACTCCTGTAGGATATCCCCTCAGAGTCACTGGAATAGTTAGTACTGAACAGGAAGAAAGCATACCTGGAAAGAGTGGTTCCCAAAATTTCTGTGACTCTGTGATACCTTCTCTTTGAGGCCATGCCAAGTGTTATTTCCAGTCTGTATCTGCAGTAGGGTGCGTATTGGGAAGGCAAAACCATAGTGGCACTTCTTGAAAGCTGTTATGCCTCATTGCTGTTTTTCATCTGTTCACAGTGTATACGCATCTGCTCGAAAGCTGACTGCTGTACAGGAAAAGGCTGTTTATACCTGATTTAACACTTCCATGTAAGGCACTACAGATAGACAGAGGTCAGTGCTGTGTTTGCTTCTCCTTGCACTGAAAAAATAAACGGGTCATAATTCTGGTTCCATATGACAATTGGCAATTAGATATTAGGCAATGTTTTGCAATATGAAATTAGTAAAATGACTCCAAGGGATCAAGAGCCAAGAGTAGGTGGCTGACACCCATTTTGTCTCCTTTTCATTTCCCTAGGAGACCAGGATTGTTTCAAGTGAATTTCTTATGCTTGTGGGTGTCAATTTGAGATTTGTTAAATTAAAGGGAGCTTTGCTCTTGAATTCCTCCTGTGTCATCAGCATCTCTTTCTTCTAAGTTAGATTTCGTGAACAGAGAGTTTTGCACATTGTCTTGCAG